GATGTGCCAACAATCGTCTTTATAACCAGTAATTCCATGATTTTGCTTGGGTAATCCCTTTTAATCGTGAACTTCAGGTCACAACAGTAACTATTAGTTCAACTACACCAAGGTTTCTGAAGACAATGGCTTCTCCACCCAAGCAGGTTGTATATAAATTCCAAATAGAAGCTGGCATCACCCTGAAGGAATTCTAACTTCACACTGTTGGGGAAATTTACCAAGATGGCTTCAGAGTAGACTAACTTTACACAGCACATTAAAAAAAAAGACATTTATTCAGCGTCACGATCAGACTATTACATTTAGCAATCAACAGCATGGGTGCAAAAAAAAAAAAGAAAAAGAAAAAGAAAAAAAATCTACATTAAAACCCCCTTGTTGGAATGCTTTACACTTTCCACAGAACAGAAACTAAAATAACCTGTTATACAATTAGTCACAAATACAGTCCTCGAGTTTTTTGCCCATACACATGAGTATTTGTCTAAATCATGTCTTCTTTGTAGCAGCTAGGCCCTGCCACCACTGTGCTTGGCTGAGTTCACAAATCTGTTGTAACCTGTAGCTTCCCTGTCACTTCTCTGGCTCTCCTCTCCTGCTAAGCTTTGTTTCCTGTTGAACAATATGGAATAAAGTTGTTAATCTAAACATATTAAGACTCAAGGCTACAATCCAATATCAAGTTTGTTTCCCACAAATTTTGCTGATCTGAATATTAACTTTATATCCACAATTTACTGCAATTATAATGTTAACTATGTTGCACTGCTCAGCTACATTAGGGTTATTGGGTTCATCAGCAATTTAAAAAATTACGTTAACACACAAAAAGGTGCTTACTTACCTAATTAAAATCTTCTGCCACTGCCATAGCTACTGCTGCTACTGGAACCACCATAGCCACCTGAGGAATATAATTTTTCTTTTAAAGTTTCAAAGTGCTAACAGTAATAGTAATGTTTTCACATTCACTGTAAATAGTAATTTCAAGTGTTTGATCATTTAAAAATGGCCCCTGCTACAAGAGAGGTGGTAAAGGTCCCATGATTTTTCTAATTTGTGATCAAATTATCACTTTCTGAAGGTTGTAAACTGTCAATGTATTACTGCAGACACCAGTTAAAGGGCTTCCTTCCCAGCAGTAGCTACAGACACACAACTCTTTTGACATTATCCCAAATTACATAGATACCATACCTTGGTTTCGTGGTTTGGCAAAGTATTGGCCGCCACCACCATAGGGGCCAGAGCTTCTGCCTCCAAAGTTTCCTCCCTTCATGGGTCCAAAATTTGAAGACTGATTGTTGTAACTGCCAAAATCATTGTAGCTTCCACCACCTCCAAAATTGCCTCCTAGGAATGGGAAAGAGGGCCTTTGTCTGTTACTTGAGGATGATGCTAGTTTCCAATTCTGTTTAGTGGTCAGAATAAAAATAAGATTGAGTTATCTGCCTTCCTTCCTCCCAAACTATGGTGACTCCATCTTTGCATTTCATTCTCTGGGAAAGGCATTCAGTTGAATAATCCAGTAATAAGAAAATCGGCCCAACTCTCCATGACATAAAAAGAGATTTACACAGTGGCACAAAAACACCCTCCAGCCTTGAAGGCCTTCATGGAGATCTAGGGCCACAGGCAATCAGAAGTTTCTTGGATACATCAACTAAGCGCCTAAGGTCCCAAAGCAGTTAAGATACTAAATCCTTCTATGACACTAATCTAACTCAAAGACACCATTATCCACTTATCTCTACTAATTGGGAGTGAGGCGGCCCCAGCTTAAAGCTAGGAGGAGGTAGCACAGCAAGCCCGTTTGCTTTTAATATACCATGCAATGTACTACACAATGCTTCAACAGCACCAGAACCCAAGCTCTAAAAGACTAATCTAGCTGTCACACCAAGTACTTGGATCACTGGATACCTACCACTACCACCGCCAAAGCCGCCTCCGCCTCCGTTGTTATAGCTGTCATAGCTGCCACTCCCGCCATAGCCACTGCCCTGGTTTCCATAACCCTGTCCACCACTTCCATAGCCTCTGCTTCCTCCAGAGTAACCAGGGCCGCCTCCTCCATAACCACCTACAAGAATACAATTCTTCTCAATAAGACATAAGTATTTGACAATGAAAACTTGTGCAAGTGTAATGGCTGAAGGCCTGCTCACAGCATGCGTGTTATGGGAAAAGTTGAGCTTGTCATGCACTAGAATTTTAGTCTTTACTAACCTATTCTAAAGATAGGCATTGCCAGGAATTTTTATCTACTTATTCCTAAAAAACTTACCATCATTACCAAATCCATTATAGCCATCCCCACTGCCACCATATCCACCACCACCACGGCTGCCACCAAAACCACCTGGAAGAAAACAAAGTTTCAAGTTTTAAGCATGATCTGCACATTAAGTGACATTCTGGATGCACTTCCTGTACTGTAAAATCTGCATAGCAAAGATGGTAAGAAGCCAGAACTACATGTAAATAAACCATACATACCACGACCACTGAAGTTTCCTCCGCGACCAAAGTTGTCATTCCCACCGAAACCACCTCCACGACCACCACCAAAGTTTCCAGAACCACTTCGACCTAAAGAGATTAAGTTTAAGCGTTAAATCATTCATACTGGAGTAACCGAAAGTTGCCTTTAAGGTTTAACGAAGCATAAGCATACCTCTTTGGCTGGATGAAGCACTAGCCATCTCTTGCTTTGACAGGGCTTTCCTAACTTCACAGTTGTGGCCATTCACAGTATGGTATTTCTGAACTAAAAAAAAAAAAAGAAAAAAGAAAAAAGAAAAAAAAAATGAAGACAGATACAACACAGTCTCAGGTTTAGAATGCCACATGGATTGTGGAACCCTTACTAAATACCACTCACTATTTGGTACTTACTGACAATCTTATCCACGGAGTCATGGTCATCAAAGGTTACAAAAGCAAAGCCCCTTTTCTTGCCACTGCCTCTGTCAGTCATGATTTCAATCACTTCAATTTTTCCATACTGTTCAAAATAATCTCTTAGGTGATGTTCTTCAGTGTCTTCTTTAATGCCACCAACGAATATTTTTTTCACAGTTAAGTGGGCACCTGGTCTTTGAGAATCCTAATAGGAGGAAAACCACAGGTTTAGATTAGCAAAACCTACACCCAAATAAAAATCCTGAATCCAAATCCGCTAGCAGCACATCGCCAAATGAGTTGAAGGGAAGGGTAAAAAAACCACTCACTTCTCTTGAGACAGCTCTCTTTGGTTCCACAACTCTTCCATCCACTTTGTGTGGCCTTGCGTTCATGGCTGCATCCACTTCCTCCACAGTTGCATACGTGACAAACCCAAAGCCCCTGGAGCGCTTGGTGTTTGGATCTCTCATTACCTGAGAACAGTGTTGATTCATGTAACAAAGTCTGACCCCAAAAACTTTTGTCACTTTAACTTTGAATAGGGGAATAAGAAACTTTATACCAGCCCTTTATAAAAAACCCCTCCAGTTTCCCACTATCCTAGGTTTAAGCGGTCACTCTTAGAAATCAAATAAACAGGACTTTCCTTTGTCAACAAAGCTCTAACTATAATGCTACCAACAACCTTCATAAGCATTCAGAGAGAACTGCACCAAGATAAAGCAAGGAAATCCACTATTTTACTCTTTGGTCCCTTCCAATTCTTACCACACAGTCTGTGAGCGTTCCCCACTGCTCAAAATGGCTCCTCAGGCTCTCATCGGTTGTTTCAAAGCTCAACCCTCCAATGAAGAGCTTCCTCAGCTGTTCCGGCTCTTTAGGAGACTAGAGTAGGGGGAGGAGGAAGTGTTAAATGAACTGCAACAGCAAACAATTTCCATCGACGAAAAGAAAAACTAGAAAACTGTGTATGTAGCACTTATTGTTCGTTCAGATTGCAACAAGCCATGTGCTTCTTCCTAACAGGGGAAAAGGTATGTTGGGGGTTGGGAGTGCTGGGAAATCCAAAGCGCATGCGTCCCTAGTCGCCTTCCGACGCAAGCGCAACAAAGGCTTAGGCGGGAGGGGTACATCGCCAAAATGGGACTAATCGCTCTTTTAAAAACTCGCTCACCAAAGCAAGGTTTAGGAAAGACAAAGATTCGTGCCTAAGAATCTTGCTTAGACTACCGAGTCCTGCATAATAACTCATGATTGGCGTGAGCGGCCTCATGGCGATCAACAGGACAAAATGGCGACTTGAACTTTGGGAGGGGTAGGCCGTGGCTGCGACCGAAAGAGCTGTAGAATGGGCTGGTGCAAGGAACGAAACCAAGCCTCATTTTACCAATTCACGAAAGGAAGAGGAAGAATTTCAAGTTGGAAAGAGCGCCTAACTCACCTCTGACTTAGACATGATCGCAGGGAGAAGAGAGACTTTAACGATGCTTCTTCGGCGGCGTCCACGGGCAAAAAGGAGCAAACTGACGAACGTATCTGCCAGCCTACCTTCAGCCTTTCTTTTTTACCCCGCCTCCTCCCTTTCGGCATTGGTACACTCCGCCCTTGAACAGTTCTGATTGGATGAGTGAAATCGCTTCCCCCTACTATTGGCCTGTGGTGCCACACTGCTGTGTAACGTCATCCCTTTGGGCGTTCTACGCCGTCTCCACCCCTTGGAGTTCATTGGTTCCCGAGTAATATTATTCTTAACCAGTCTGATTGGCCAGCCGATCAATCATTCATATTTGAATCCGCCTTGGGTGTTTAAGGCCTTTTTAATCTTCCCCGCGCAAATATTACGCTTGGCAAAGCATGATTAACACTATGTGTTAGAAAAGCAGTTAGCCAGCAGGTCAAAATTTTGACTGCTTGTTGAGCGCACGTGTAGTAAAATGGCGAGTTTTGCGCAGGCGCATTAAGAACTTCCATCTGCCTCTGGGAACACGTGAAATGGCGGGCAGTACTAGGCAGTGACCCTATGGCGCCTGCGTATTGGCGGGAGTTGGTTCCAGCTTTGCGCATGCGTGGTGGGCGGAGAAATGGTCCGCTCGCAGATTGGTTGCGCAGGCGCAGGGAAGGATCCGTTTTGGCGGGCGGTTGGCGTTGCGCAGAAGGTGGCGGCGGTGGTGGCTTGCGTTGCGGCCTCACCATACAGGAACAGGGCAGACGTTAGCGTGAGTGATCACTCTCAGTCCCGGGTAAGTGGCAGACAGTCTTCTCTACCCATAGTAGGTCTTGAACTGACTCCATTTGGGCCCGTTATTGTGTGAAATGAATGGACCGCGGGGTGGGGGATAGTGAAGGGGCAGCGGTGGGTCGGGCCAACCAATAGAAGAACAGGGGGCGGGATGTTTTAATTCCTGTAGGTTCTTTGGAGCGGTGCAGCCGAAGACTTTGACTGGCTTGCGTCTAGGCCAATTGTGTCTGCCTTGAGCTGCCGACTGATGGGCCCTTGGGCCTTCGGAATGTGGGAGACGGGTTTCCCTCCTGAGCTGCGTCTCACTGAGCCAGTGAGCGCGAAGCGCGCGGTAGGTTGGGCTTCTCCAGGCGGCAGCGGTTTGACTCCAATGGGGAAAGCGGGAGTCGGGCGGTTAAACTGATGGACTGAATCTGGAGCCAGTAGACGGACAGCCTAAGGAAAGTGCTCGGACCAGTCGTCCAATCGGCTCTCCAAAAGAGGGAGGTCTTCGATTTGGGGTTGTGAGGAAGGGGAGTCGGTGCTTGTAATGGCGTGTGAGGGTGAATTATCCACAGTGACTTCTCTAACGAAGCCTTTAGGCCTCAGTCCCATAAATCTCCTTGAAAGCGTAAGTTTGCGCCTGTCTGCCTCGACTTGGCATTTTTCCCCCCACCTCCTCACCACTTGAGGTTTGGAGAACAGGGGAGGGTTTTGTTGTTGCTGTTGTTAAATAATACTTTGAGAAGTCGCTTCTTTAGGAAGACTGTTAAAATGTTAGAACGAATAAGAAAAATCTCAATATACTGTCATGGAAAGGCGTTCGAGAAATATTTCCTTCCTAATGTAGATTTCTGAACAAATATGTTGTGGGTCCATAAAAAAGTTTCAGAAAGCTACACACTAAAGTGTGTCAATCCTAGGGACACAGTAGGATCGAGGCAAGTTAACGTTTAAAACTTTGCAGGATTAATGGTTTGTGATTAAAATTAAATAAAAAATGAAGTCAGTTATTTTGTGTTTCTAGTCATAATCACATACTTACCACCCCTTTTCTGTTTTATGTAATCCATGTGCCCAGTACTTTTATTTTAGTCTCTTCCTCCCGGGAACTTTCCCGCTCATATGTTTCCCCTTTCTTTAGACCATTAAAGATATCCTAAAGCCCCTCTTTTTGCTGTTCTTTTGAGAATATCTGACTTTGAAATAAAAAGGAAACTGCTTAAAGGAGGTAATATTTAGGGTTCTAGGGAAAGAAGACTCATCCATCACCTGGATTATTCCTTGCCTTTTTATTAGATTTCCTTCCAAGTGTATTTTGCATGCAGTCCATCTCCTTTTCGTAATACCCGCTCTGCTTATTCCAGGATCTTTTGGAGAAATAAATAAATTTTCATAACATTGGCTGTATCAGAGTCTTACTGTTTTATTCACTGATTTATTCAGGATCAAGGGAAAACATTTAAATACTGAAAATCAGCTACCTATGAAATACACTTATGATTAGAGATCTTTCTGACTTTACCAAAGACAAACAATTTTAGTGAAGTTTATGAACATTGGAGAGATTTCCATGTTCTCTGGCACTAGCAAAAGGACATATTTATAATTTATATCTGGCTTTAAACCTATGTGTAGGTATGCTAGTAATGGAGTTACTGAGCTGACAACTAACTAAAGTGATACAGGTTAAGGGTGTCTGTCCTGGGTTTATTTAAGTTTGAAAGTAATACATCTTTGACTTACAGCAAGGTTTCTCAGTCTTAGCACTGTTGATATTTTGAGACAGACAATTATTTGTTGAGGAGGCTCAGGGTGTCCTGTGCATAGTGAAATATTTAGCAGCATCCCTGGTCTCCACCCACTGTGTTCTAGTAGCATCACCCCTCTCGCCACATCCCCATTTGTGACAATCAGAATGTCTCCAGACATTGCCAAATGTCCGGGGAGGTAGGGGCGAGGGTAAAATCTCCCTCAGTTGAGAACCGTTTATCTAACATACTGGAGTATGCGGGGCACAGTTTCGTGTCACTGTAGTCCCAGCTACTCTGGAAGCTGACACTGAGGCAGGAGGCTTGAGCTCAGGAAGTCAAGGCTGCAGTGTGAGATGATTATGCCTGTAAATAGCCACTACACTCCAGTCTGGGCAGTACAGCAACGCCCTATTGCTAAAACATAAAAATAAAATGTTAGAGTTTATTATCTTTTCAAAATCCATTATTTTAGCAATTGAAAAGTAGGTAGAGGTGGGAGAAGATGGTTGAAGTGTTTTTTTTTTGTTTTTTTTTTTTTTTTTAAGACCAAGATTTGCTTTTGTTGCCCAGGCTGCAGTGCAATGTCATGAACTTGGCTCACTGCAACCTCCACCTCACAGGTTCAAGTGATTCTCCTGCCTCAGCCTCCCAAGTAGAGTAGCTGGGATTACAGGCATGCACTACCACGCCTGGCTAATTTTGTATTTTAGTAGAGATGGGGTTTCTCCATGTTGGTCAGGCTGGTTTCGAACACCTCAGGTGGTCCCCCCACCTCAGCCTCCCAAAGTTCTGGGATTATAGACGTGAACCACCACACCCTGTGGATGGTTGAAGTGTTTAGGGAGTGGCTTTTGGTAAATGGATGACTAAATCCTGATGTTTTATCTCCTTAAGACATAGAATCGATCATTGTTCCATTTGATAAAAGGAAAATTTCTTTAAAATTTTTACCACTTCTTGGCCTGGCTCCAGTGGCTCACGTCTCTAATCCTGCCACTTTGGGAGGCTGAGGTGGGTGGATCATTTGAGGCCAGGAGTTTGAGACCAGCCTGGACAACATGGTGAAACCTATCTCTGTTAAAAATATACAAATTAGGCTTGGTGGTAAGTGCCTGTGATCCCAGCTACTCAGGAGGCTGAGACAGAAGAATGGCTTCAACCTGGGAGGCAGAGGTTGCAGTGAGCCGAGATGGTGCCACTGCATTCCAGCCTGGGTGACAGTGAGACCTTGTCTCAAAAAAAATAAATGAAAGTTTTTACCACTTCTTGCAATTTAAACATACGATTGATTGTATCTTGTGCTTCTTTGGCTTCCTAAAATAATGGCAAATATGTTTTTGAAGAAGGTAGACTTTGCCTCATATGCTTCTTTTTCACTTGATTCTAGCCTCTTTCCTGGTATTCTCTTGGAACCATGTCTCAAGACTTTTTGAGCTCAGTAAGAAATATATTTTACACTAACCCTGTATACATATTGAAACAGATTTCACTAAAAAAACAAATGTGCAGAGTACTCTGATATTTTCTTGTCTGCAGTGTACTCTTTCATTGTCTCAAGAAAGCAGATCAATTTCCACTGAACTGATTTCACAGCTGTTAATAGACCTAAAGTTTTAGGGGGATAAAAAGACTTCTGATCTGAACAATAGGTCACCAAATCATGCCACCTTTGATTACTCTCTGAGTCAGTTCCATCTCAAGCACCAGCCTCTTGTAGATAGCCTTTGACTTGTGATATTTCAACTTAAGATTGTTCACCTTTACAATGATGTAGAAAGCAATTTGCATTCAGTAGAAACCATACTTCAAGTATCCACATCACTATTCTGTTTTTCACTTTTGGTACAGTAATAAACTAATTACATGAGATATTCAACACTTTATTATAAAATAGGCTTTGTGTTAGGTGATTTTATTCAACTGTAGGCTAATGTAAGTGTTCTGAACACATTTAAGGTAGGCTAGGCTAAACTATGATGTTTAGTAGATTAGGTGTAGGAAATGGATTTTCAGTTTTTAATATTTTCAGCCTACGATGGGTTTGAACATAACCCCATCATAAGTCAAGGAATATCTATGTAAACAGATTAAGCAGTAACCATTTATTTGGTGTTTTTACTCCTGTGTTTTACTTTGAAAGATTATAGGAGCTAAACTGAGACTTTCTAGTTTACTGTGGTATGCAAGTAAAAATTGCTTGTTTTATTGTGAAGCCTCTCAATGCTTAAAGAGGGAAAACAATAAAAATATTGTGAAGAAGTCCCTTCCAACGTGATAGTGTTTTTTTTTTTTGTTTGTTTTGTTTTGTTTTTTGAGATGGAGTTTCGCTCTTGTTGCCCAGTCTGGAGTGCAATGGTATGCATGATTTCAGCTCACCGCAACCTCCGCTTCCTGAGTTCAAGCAATTCTCCTGCCTCAGTCTACCGAATAGCTGGGATTACAGGCATGCACCACCACGCCTGGCTAATTTTGTATTTTTAGTAGTGATGGGGTTTCCCCACGCTGGTAAGGCTGGTCTCAAACTCCTGACCTCAGGTGATCCGCCTGCCTCGGCCTCCTAAAGTGCTGCTGGGCGTGAGCCACTGCGCCCAGCCTCCAATCTGATAGTTAATAGATATGATGGACTTTCTCTCTGGTGGGGAAATTTTAGTGCGTAATTTTTCGTTGAAATTCTAGGACTATCACATTGGAAATCCTAACTTCCAGTGTGATACATGTTGGGCCTTCAATTATAAAGGTTATAGCACTTGTGCTCAGAACTTAGAGACATGCATATTATTGTAACCAAATCTAAAAGGGGTGTTTACTAAAGGGGAAAATATATGTTCACTGGTCTGTCTGAAAACTAAGTGGAAAGCTTCTATTTGGGTAGTAGCTAAGGAGGATGATAGTTGGGGACAGAAAGAGTGAAAGAGCAAGCATACATTTGAAGCAGATGGATTTGTATATGGCTAAGGAAATTCTGGAGACTGTCGGAGACCTTAACTATAGTCTGGAAAAGAGAAAGGTTTGGTATCAGGGTACAACGATTTTTGAGGAAGACCAAGTCTTTTTTTGCTTCTATTGAGGTCTTTTATGTAACCACATAGCATGATTTCTCTTATTGGTATAGCCCATTTAATTAATAACTCTCCTGGTTAAGCCTTTCTAGCCTTTATTTTGTCCTTTTACTTAGATTATTTTTATTTCCATTCACATTACATGACACTGGGCCTAAAGCTGTGTTATGGATATTGATTGTAAAAGTAATAAATTACAACGCGAGATA